TTTCGGGACAGGCTAGAATTTTTAGGGCACGTTATTTCGGAGGCTGGAGTTGAAATTGACCCCAAGAAGCTGGATACGGTCAAAGCGTGGCGTCCCCCGACGAACATCACGGAACTGCAGAGTTTTTTAGGGTTCGTTAATTATGTTCGTCGGTTCGTACCCGACGTGGCACGATCAACCGCCCCGCTGACAGATTTACTACGCAAGAGGGTCACTTTTACGTGGGGGGAGAAAAAGCATGCTGCCTTCTCTGCCCTGAAAAATGTTCTCTGTTCACCACTCGTCCTGTGCATCGCTGACCCACATCGCCCCTTCGAAGTTGTTACAGACACAATCGACACCGCCATTGGAGCCGTACTGTTACAGGACTTCGGCAACGGCCTACAGCCCATCGCATACGAATCACGAAAACTGCATCCGCCCAAACGAAATCACCCGATACACGACCGCGAAATGCTCGCGATCGTGCATGCGTTCAAAGTGTGGCGCTGCTACTTGACCGGCGCAGACGTGACAGTACGGACAGACCACCGATCCCTACAGTACCTCCGCGCACAGCCCCATCTCAACCCACGACAGATTCGGTGGCTCGATTTTCTCGAGTCAAACTTCCACTACACAGTCACATATAAAAAGGGAGCCTCGAACATCGCCGACGCACTGACCCGCCCCACTGCCCAGATCCATGCGATACTACTCGCCCAGACCAGCCCGCTACTGACAGGACTGTTTACCCACGGATATCAAACGGACCCATTCTTCACAGGAGGAAACTCGCAGCAATTCGCAGCAGCCAAGGGAGTCTATTACGTAAAAGCCGGGACCGAACGCATCCGGGCACCAGGGTACACACTGCTACGGGAATTACTGTTACAGGAGGCACATGACGGAGTTACCTCGGGACATTTCAGAGTAGAGAAAAGACGGCAGCAGCTGCAGCGGTATTATTACTAGCCCAAAATGTTGACCGTCATGCTGCGACACGTGGCATCGTGTCCCACTTGCCAGATCATGAAGTCAACCCGGAAGCGGCCGGCGGGACAGTTGCAACCAATCCCACCTCCATAGTGTGCTTGGCAGCAGGTGACGATGGACTTCGTCACGGGGTTACCAGCTGGGGCGAGTGGGAATGACGTGATCCTGGTTGTCGTCGATCGACTGACGAAAATGACACACTTCGCAGCCTGCAAGAAATCAATCACAGCCGAAGATACAGCCCGTCTCTTCATCTCTACCGTCGTTCGACTGCACGGGATACCAGCATCAATCATCAGCGACACAGACACGAAGTTTACCAGCAACTTCTGGCGGAACCTGTGGTAGCAGTTCGGCACCGACTATAGTTTAGTTCATCGTACCACCCCGAAAACGACGGACAGACAGAACGGACAAATCAAACCATGGAGCAACTCATCAGGGCCACGTGCGACGATCCAAACACGTGGGAGCAACAACCGCCACTCATTGAATTCGCATACAACAACGCCCCATCCGCCACGACCCAATAGTCACCATTTTACATGAATTACGGACAAGACCCAACAGTACCCATGACCCCGAATCGCGAGAACCCGGTTCCACGCGCGCAACAGTACGCCGAAATTCTGCAAGCAGTACGGACCAGGGCAGCAGACGCAATCAAAAAATCGAACATCATCGCTAAACGCAACGCCGACCGCCACCGCATACCTGTCACTTACCAGCCCGACGATCTAGTTTTACTCGACACTCAGAACCTCCGACTGCCCATCACACCCAAACTCCGCCCCCGATACTGCGGGCCATTTCGTATCAGCCACATGATAACACCCGTCACCGCCCATCTCCTCCTCCCTGCTGACTGGTACGTCAGCCCCTCGTTCCACGTCAGCCTTCTTCGCCCCTACGTCCCATCCACAAGCCAACTTCCATGCAATCGCCCAGCCAGCATGACACGACCACCAACCGAACCAATCACCACCCCCGACAAAATCATGAGCCACAGAGTTCGTAACCCTCGAGGAGCCCGAAAGATCGAATTTCTCATCCGCTGGAAGGACCGTACACCCACCGAAGACAATTGGGTTCCCCTGGACAGAATCGAAAACCACCCCGTCCTCACCGAGTATCTGCGCAGCCGGAACTTCAAGGATGTCCACGCACTTTCGTAATGAGGACCTCCTTAGGAGGGGGGGGGGGGGTAGTGTAAGGAAAATCCCTTTTCCTTACTTCGCATCCCTGCTCAACGCGTACATCACTGTAGCACCACAGCTAGCACTGTTACCACTCGCGATCCTCGCATCGACAATCAGCCCGCCACTTTCGCACATCGCACCCCGACCTCACGGCTCGGCTGGTAACCCGCGCTCTGGGCCTCCGCTTTGACACTTTCCCAACCTCAGTCCCAGGCCCGTCGCGCGACAACCACAGTCCATTACCGTTACCACTGTAGTTTCGCTATATATTTTTCGCTCATGCCTTCACTCATTGTATTCTTGCTTAGATAGTGCAATTCTCGTTCGTTCGCTCAATTGCACTCGTAACACATTTGAAGATACGGGTACGTGAAGCGAACCGCCAAGCAGGGCTGTCGTTCTGGTGTGTGAAGGGACAGCGCTGGTTCGCAGGGTGGAAAATTGCAGCCGTTCCGCCTTTCTTGTGCGTCAGCACGGAAAGTATGGTGATGCGGTGGCTGGCTGTAGAGGTCAAGATGATCTTTGTTGGCCACCCATGCAACCAAAGCTCCCATGTCATACGTGTCCGTGGCCCACATGGGCCATGCTCCAGATACCAGTAAGCCAGCAACTAATCAGCGATGAGATATCCACGTCAAGAACCTATCCAGGAATCGGTTCCGCTGTCTCAAACTGGCAATATCCAACAAAAGCCATCCCTGATTCGCTGGGTGATGCACATGCAAAGTGCATGAGCAAAAACGAAGCTGGATGCTCCACAAGTCATTTGGCGAAGGTCGGTTACCTGTACAGAGAGCAGCTTGGATAACCCCTCATTTAGACCAGCTCGACTGATCCGAGGGCTGATGATAGGCGATCTTGAGCAATTTACTGGACTGACGTGGCATGAGATCTCATTCTTTATTGCGCGCTGAGCGTTGAGTACAGTCAGCGCTGAGTGTGCCTCCAGATCACACCACCCTCCAGATCATACAAATGTTCTGGCTTAGAAGCCCTTCCTAAGAGAGGCTATTTTTCCCGTCGTGTAGATTTTTCATATATGTCCTAGGTGAAGACCCTCCTCTACAGTTCCCTTATTGGCGGGATATTTTGCAGCTTGACTGCGGATCAGTTCCGCAGCCAATCAGAAAGCTCAAATCGAACCAAACCAGAAAATGCGAGGAAAGGAATTTTTGTTTTGACATTTACATTGAAAACTACATCTGATTTTTTATCTTGATCGCGCTTACTTCTAAATCCTGTCAAGCGTTTCTCAGCGCGCTCGACGATGACAGGGAAAAACAAACTATATTTTTTTCATTAATTCCTAAGACCTGACCGAATTCGTTTATTCTGCCCGTCAATCATGCAACACTGATGAACGTGGAGAATTCTTGCGACAAGAAGTTGAATCAAGCGCATTCCGAATTGGTACGTATATGACAAAAAAACAACAATTATTAGCGAAGAAAACCAATTTTTATGCAATTTTACTGAAGATGGGACTATAGGGTCCCGTTCGCCTGGGGTTTGAAGGGTTTTCCACAAAGGCCCGCAGCGTGTGTGTTTTTCACTGGAACTCTAAGCAAGAACATTTGTACCACCCTCCGATGAGGTTGTGGCGCGGTGCTTCGGAATCATCATGGCTGTTTTGTGTGCTAGCAGCATGGCAGCGGTGATGATCATGAATTCATGCTCCATTCAAGCGCAACACGTACACCCCAACCAAACCAAGTCAACACGCCAGAGGACGCAGGCAAGCTCGTATGAGGGGAGGGGGAGCGAGGGCAGGAGAGGAGAGAGTGGAGGAAAGCCTTCCCTCGGGAATCTCCAAGCTCTTCCTCTTCGATGCTTGCCTGCCTTGCCTCCCTGCAGCTGCCAGAAAGCAAGTCCGCCTGCATGGGTCAGCCAGCCTCCACAGAACTTTCTAGTGTGCTGCCTGACGTGCCTTCTCGGGCTTGGGTCACGCTTCACCACGCCCCAGTCAGACCAGATTGCTCGCTGTGCCTCCTCGGGATTGGTCGAGGCAAAGGTGCGTCAAGCACACTGGCAGCCCTGCGCGGACCACCAAGCCGAGGCGCGCTTTAACCACCACCAATTCGACCATGGGACAGGCTCAGGCGGAGGGAGCGAAGTGGTGGTGCTGCTCGGCGGGTGATGCTGCTTTTCCCGTCACCCCTTTACGCACTGCAGAAGCTGCAGAAGCTGAAGCTGTATTTTGTCATCGTCTACTGGCCAAGGGTGCCTATCGCTGCTGCGTTGGAGAGCTAAGAGCGCTGACAGTGCTTGCAATTGACGGATTTTCACGACAGGACGCGTCGTCGCTGCGAAGAGTGTACATACTAAAAAGTGGACCGCGTTTTCAGAGGCAGGCTTCCAAATGCATGGTAGCCTCCTCCGTCTCAAATTTCCCTACCTGAGTTAGGCTACAGCTCGTAGACTTGCCTGATATCGTTCAGCGTTCTGCGCGCCGGTCGGCTTCAGTACCCAATCGACAGGTTCCGCGACTTTGACGAGCCAGCAACAGGTGAGTAAGACGTAAACCTGCCTTAATTTGAACCCTTGGCAGAGCCTTCAGTAGTAACTGTTCTGAGGCGCCGTTGATAAGGTCGGAGCCAGGATCCGATGCAGGAAATTCATTCAGCTATACAATCCCAGTAGTCAATCCTCGCAAGCAGCTGCTATCCTGGTGGCTGTTATGATCGTGAACGGCTCGCTCGTCGCGACTAGATGCTCGCCGTCTTGGATTCCTAAGCTCATACTTCTCGCTTCCAGAAAGTTATCTTCGCTGGCAAGAGCTTTTCAACTGGAGCGCGTTCCATAAGCCAGCAGCGCGGGTTGCGGGAGATGGAGGGAGGAAGAGGAGGCCGCGAGACCGGTGCCGTGGAGACGGAAGAGGTCTTGAAACGAATGTCAGTAGAGGCGTTGGCGCTGAGACAGCACGAGGCCGACGAGCGCACGTCTGGCGCTGGTTCCTGCGTACCGATTTTGGCCACTGCTGAAGCCGATGCGAAGGCGTCATGCTTGAAACGCGAAGTGCAACAAAAACTCCTCCAGCAGCAGTCGCAGCAGCAGCAACAGCAGCAGCAGGCGCGATTACCATCTTCTGGAGAGCCAGTTGATTCAAAAGAGAAGGTTACTCTCGTAACTCTTGCTCCAAGCGAGAAAAGGGAAGGCGGAAAAGGGCTTGTCCGTAACGGCGTATCATGGATTGCTGACAACGCAGCTGCTGTTACAGCGCCCTCTGTTCTTCCTCACAGGCTCGTCCGGGCGGCAGTCGTCGTCAGCCTAAGCAGCTCCGCGTGTAGTGGCGACAGTGGCGGCGAGGCAAGCAGTGGAGAGATTGAGTCCGTTGCTATGGGTGATAAGGGTGTCGCAGCAGCGTGCGATGGTGTGGTTCCTGCGACAGTATCCCAAGTCAAGGGTCTTCAACAGGCGCCGACGGCTGCTTACACGGTGTCTTGGGCTGATACACTTTCTAAGACTGCTGCTGCTGCTGCTGCTGCTGCTGCTGCTGACATCGGGGCCATGGCAATCGACAGCATGGGTTCTGGTTCGGTGATAGCATGGAGCCTTCACAGGCAGTCTGATCCAGGGGTTGATGGAGAAGCAGCGTTTCCCGCAGCACAACGCAAGGAGCCGGCGGGGCCAGAAGCACAAGTGAGCGCAGTTCGATGTGGGAGCGCCCAGCAGGCAGGTGAAGCCCCGGCAGCAGGTGGTGCTGGAGAGCAGCAGCGTACAGCTCGACTTCTTCCCCCTGGCGAGCTCCCTACAGTGACAGCGGCTGTGGCAGTGGGAGAATTGGGGGCAGCGAGGTGCAGGGTACTGGAGCGTGGTGATGCTATTGCCACTGATGGCGCTGCTGGCGCTGCTGCTGCTGCTGCTGGCACTGGTGGCACTGATGGTGTTGTCGATATGCAAGGGGGTGAATCCGGCTGTGCTGCGGCTGTGGCGAAGCCATCGCACGAAGGCCTGATGTGTGCTGTGACGCCGCCGGATCTTGATGGCACCATGGCAGTGGCAGGATTGCCGAATCCAGTGGCGCCCACAACATCGCCAGATGCTTCCGCTGCGGATAACACTGCTGCTGCTGTTCCTTCTGCAGCTGCTAATGTTGAAGTTGATGTTGGTGTTGCTATTGGCGAGGCCAGAAGTGCGTCGTTCCCCTGTCCTCCTCCTGCTGTTGCTAACACCTCACCAACAGATCCCGCTGCTGCGATGCCTGTCGTCTCCGGTCCTGCCGCTATCGATTCCACCAAGCCCACTGCCAGTGCGGCCAACACCGTCAAAAACCGCAATCCTAACACCACCAGTGCCGCCGCCAACATCGCCGGTGCTACCAACACCACTGGTACAGCCGATACTGCCGCCAACACCACCGGCAATCCCACAGCGGGCTCGCAGCTGCTCCCATTCAACACGGAGCGAGTGGAGAGCGTGTACGCGCTGGCGAGCGAGGAGCTAGGCCGGGGCGAGTTCGGCGTGGTGCGCACGTGCATGCACCGCACCACCGGGCAGCTCTTCGCGTGCAAATCCCTGGACAAAGCCCGGCTGCGGGAGAGCTCACGCGTGGAGGACCTAGAGATGGAGCTGTACTGCATGGGCATCATGCCGCGCCATGGGAACGTCGTGCAGCTCGCGAGCGTGCACGAGGACGAGAGGGCCGTGCATCTTGTGATGGAGCTCTGCGATGGGGGGGATCTGTTTGAGCTGATAGCCAAGGCGGGGCGGCTGCCAGAGGTGTTTGCTGCGTGGATGTTCCGCCAGGCTGTTGAGGCCGTAGCGTTTTGTCATGAGTACAACATCGCGCATCTGGATATCAAGCCGGAGAATCTGCTCATTCGGACCAAGAGGAACCTGCCTGGGGGGGCGTCGGCGGCGGCGTCGGTGGCTCTTGCGGCCATGGGTGTGGCCCAGCAGCAGCAGCTGCAGCAGCAGGAGATACCAATTGTGGCCCCTCACAGCTCCACACAATCACCAGCAGTGGCAGCCGCTGCACCTGCAGCAGCAGCTGCTGCAGGGCCTCCCTCAGTTCCCGTCAACCGTCTCTCCACCCCCTCCACGCCAGCCACTCCCTTGGCGACTGGTATCGCTGCCACCCTCACTGCCACTGCTGCTGTCACACTCCCTGCTGGCACTGACAGCAGGGCTGCAGCCGATGGGGATAGTGCTTCTGCACCTTCTGCTGAAGCTCCTTCCACTGGTCTCGTTCCTCCTCCTCCTCCTCCTCCTCCTCCTCCTCCTCCTCCTCCTCCTCCTCCTCCTCCTCTTCCTCCTCCTCCTCCCCCTCCTCCTCTTGCTGCTGTTGCTGAAGGCCCTGTTGCTGATGACGGTACGACAAGTTCTCCATCAAGTGACCAAGGCCTGCAAGCCTCTTCTGCTCCCATGCATGCTGCCGCTGCTGCTCCTCCCCCTTCTGCTGCTGATGCTCCTGGCGGTGCTGCTGCCTCTGAGTCTGCAACGCTTGCAGCTGCCGATTACAGCAGCTGCAAGCATGCACCACCGCTCCTCACCCCGGCTTCCACTACTGTGCCTCAATGCACGGGTGCTGCAGGCACAGACTCTGCCACAGCCGCACGCACCACCACTGCTGCTCCCACCACTTCTGGCATGGAGGGCATTCGTGTGAGCAGCACTGCCACCATCGGCACTGGCTTCACTAGTGGCGCTGGTGCTGCTGCTGCTGGTGTATCCATGGGTTTGGGAACCAGCATCGGCAGGGTCGGTATCGCTGCCGCTGCCGCTGCTGCCGCCGCTGCTGCTGCTGTTCCTGGTAGCAGTGGAGGAGGAGGAGAAGGAGGAGGGTGTGGAAGCGCAGCGCCGGCGTGTCTGGCGGGGATAGAAGTGAAGCTGGCGGATTTCGGGCAGGCGGTGGTGCTGTCGCCTGGGAGCACAGCGCATGGGCTGGCAGGGTCATCGTTCTACATGGCGCCAGAGGTCGTCAAGGGGCGCCAGTACGGGCTCTCTGCTGATGTGTGGAGCCTCGGTGTGCTGCTCTATGTCATGCTTGCAGGTGAGATGGGGCGTGCCTGGTGCTGTTGGTGAGGTAAAGCGTGGTGGTGGTGCTTGTGCTGGTGCAGCTGTTGGGGGATTGGTGGGGTGGGGTCTGGGGTTCGGCGGGCTTGTCGCCAAGCTTCTAAATGTCTGTTTCCAGCATCACAACATGTTAAGGCCGAAGCATTCCTATCCCAGCCCTCAACGTCCTTCACCATCCCTTTCTCCTGTGCCTCCCTTTCCTCCGCATATGCACCCCCCACCCCCCACCCGTCCAACCACACCAGGCTACCTGCCATTCTACGGGGAATCCCTCCGTCACATCTTCCTCACCATCTGCTCGTCCGACCCCGACTTCTCCTCGCCGCCCTGGCCCTCGCTCTCCCTAGCCTGCAAGCACCTGCTGCGCTCCATGCTCCACCGCGACCCCCTCCGCCGCCCCTCCGCCCGCCAGCTCCTCTCTCACCCCTGGTTCTCCTGCGCGCTCCTCCCCCTCTCGCCCCCCTCCGTGCCTCGCTGCCTCTCCCCGTTCTCCTCGCCATCTTCCTATTCCCGCCTCTCCCCTCACTCCTCTCGCCCCTCGCTTGCCCCCCTCTCGCCCCTCTCACCCCTCTCGCGCTATTCAATCTCCACCAATCCGCTGGCTACCAAACCACTCACCAGCAAGCACTTGAATGGACAGCCATCCTCCTCACCGCTGCTCATGTCCCTTTTTCCGGGAGTAACTCCCCCGTCTCCTTCCTCCTGCCTCTCGCCCTTCACCTCCTCGTCCTTCACCTCCTCGCCCTTCTCGACGTCCCCATATTCCTCCTCCCACTTCCCCTCACCACCGTTCTCCTCCTCCTCATCCTCCTCCCATTATTCCTCCCGTCTGTCCTCCTCCTTCCCTCACCTCTTTCCAACTCTCCAATCCTTAGGTCCTACGTCCTCCCCTTCCGCATACCCTTTATCTTCCTCCCCCGCACCTCCATCCATGTCCCACGCTTTCCTCCCCAACCCCAACACCCCTCTCGCGCCCTACCACTCATCTCGCTTCCACCCGAGCTTCCCGCTTTCCACGGGGGCAGCAGCTGCGGCCGCAGCGGCCACTGCTGCTGCTGCTGTGGCGGTGGGGGCGTCACATGTGCCGTTGCGTGGAGTGGATGTGCGCTTGGATGTTGATCCGCTCCTCCCTCGCCTTGCTGCTCACCCATCTCTCTTCCATCCTCCTCTCCCTGCTGCTGCTCCTACTGCTCCTGCTTCTACTGCTCCTGCTCCTCCTGCTCCTGCTCCTCCTGCTCCTGCTCCTCCTGCTGCTGCTCCTCCTGCTGTTGCTGCGGCTGCTGCAGCAGCTGCTGCTACTGCTCCTTCACCTGCGGTGCATGTATCTCCTGCAATTCCGACCACTGCTGGTGTTGCTTCTGCCGCAGCAGCAGTCACACCATCAGGACCCTCGGCCACAGCCACAACACCTCATATTGCTGCTGCTATCACTGACCCTGCAACAATCACTGCCACTGAAAATACTCGTGCTATTGCCGCTGCCAGTGCTGCTGGTCAGGCGGCTGTTGCTGGTAAGGCGGCTGTTGCTGGTAAGGCGGATGAGGTCTCCCCTTCCTCTTCTTCTTCTCCTCCTCCTGCTGTTGATGCTCCTGCTGTGCCATCTTCCAGTGATCCTGAGGCACAGCTTTTCTCCTCAGTGCTCCTTGAAACTGCGCAGCAGCTTCCTGCTCTGGTGAACAGGGAGGATGGGACGTGGCAGGCGGGGTTGAAGGAGGGGAAGGAGGCGAATGAGGGGAAGTGGGATTGCGCATACGGTCTGCTCGATACTGCTGGCGTGGGTGATGCGAATGCTTTAGTGGATGAATGCGGGATGAAGTATAGCATAAGTGGGTATCTAGATGCGGTTCTGGATGCAGCAGCTGGTGATGAAGTGGCTGGGGATGGAGAGTCAGATGGAGGGGATGGTGCTGGAGGGAAGATTGATGGGGTGGCGTGCGTGGGTGCAGCAGGTGGGGAAGGGTGCTTTGATGCTGTTGCTGCTGCTGCTGCTGCTGGGACTGACTGTGCCAGTGGCCCACAAGGCGCCGCGTCAGTGTGGACTAGCACGGGAGGGTTGGCTCTGCTCGATGGCCATCACACCCCGCAGCAGGAGACGCAGGAGCATCAGTATTACCAGCAGGAGCAGCAGCAGCAGCAGCAGAAGCAGATGGAGAGTGGTGACGATGGAGATGTGTTGCTGACTGCCCGTGACATGAGTCCACACACCTGTGACCCCACACGTCGAGCCATGCAAGGTCCTGTCATTGCAGCTTCCAGCAACGCTCCTACTGCTGCGCTCGATCCCTCCAGCAACTATGGGGCGGGTGTGTTCAGTGTGTGCGCAGCTCCTTGCACTGTGCTCGATCCCTCCAATGTATTACGGTTTTGCGCCACAGGTAATACGCTCCATCCCTCCGCTGCTGCGGATTGCGCTGTCATGGATATAGGTATGGTGGGAGCTGGGGCTGGCTTGGTGAGCCCGAAGAGAAAGGCAGAGGCGGAGGCGGAGGGGGAGGGGGAAGGGGAAGGGGATGAGGAGGGAGAAGAGGCGCAGGAGGAGGGGGAAGGGCGGGGGGAAGTGCGGGATGCATGGGCGTGGTCTGGTTTGGGCATGTCTGCTGTTCCTGCTGATGATACAGTGCAGCCTGCTTGGATTGAAAGCAGGCAGTGCAGCTTTAGTGTGAGAACGACTAGTGCTGCACCTGCCAGTGCGGGCAATAGTGGTGGTGGTGGTGGCACTGGCAGCGCTGGCAGCGAGGCCGCTGCTCGTTACGGTGTTGCTGCGGCGTCATATGGTACCGCCAGTGGGAGCACTGCAACAGCAGCAGCCGCCGCAACAACAGCAGCGGCCGCAACAGAATCAGTTGCAGCAGCTGCAGCAGAGGAAGACGTGGAGATATCTCTTGAGATCGCTGAAGCTCTCAATCATGCAATGGATGAAGAAGCGGAGCAGCAGCAGCACGGCCCTGACCTGGGGTGCACTCTCTCCCAGGACCTCTCACACGCGCTGGAGCAGGAAGAGCTCACACACGCACTCACACAGGAGCTAGCCCATGCGCTTGAGCATGGGGTTGACGATGCATGGGCGGAGGGCCAAGGGTGGGAGGGTGCACAGGCGGACGGTGCTGCTGTGGATGGGTCAATTGGGGACTTGGCCGATTTTGGAGAAGGGATGGAGCTGGAAGATTTGGATGCTGCTGACGCTGTTGGTGTGGCCGCTGGTGCTGAACGTGAAGCTGCGGAAGTTGGCACATCCCCACTGGGCCGCAGGGGTGGGAAACGGCTGGAGACTAGTAGCGCAGCAGGGGGCAGGATGGTAGGAGAGAAGGGTGGACCAGCAGGAGCAGGTGGAGCAGCGGCTGCGAATCAAGCAGGTGGAGGAGCTGTTGGGAGTCCAAGGCAGGAGGGGCGGAGGAGAGGGTCAGAAAGAGCCACAGGAGGAGCGTGTGAGGTGGCAGTGGTGTCCCAGCCTCTACTGCCCCACCATGCCATGGCGTGTCACGATGGGTGCTCTCCTGTTCCGGTGGTGGTGGCTGGAGAAGGCGAAAGGCCTGGCACTTGGGGAAGGCGGAGAGTGAGAGCCGGCTCTCGTGCTGCGATTAATACTGCTGCTGGTTTTGGAAGAGGTGCTGCGGCTGGTGGTGAGAGGAGCAGCAGCAGCAGCAACTGCGGCAGCGGGAGTGGCATTGCGCACACACACGACCAGCGCCTGCAGTGGCCACGGCAGCAGCAGCAGAAGACGACCCAGCAGCAGAGTCAGCATGAGAGGAGGCGGCGCAGGAGGAAATACAGCCCTGGCGACCTCCCTCCTGCCTCAACAGCCACCCCGCCCACCAATCCCAGCAGCCCACCCCTCTCATGGAACCAGAATCATAAACCACCACCTGCCCATCTCACCTCCTCCTCCCACCCACCCACCTACCAGTCTCCGCATGCATTTCCTGATTCCCCTGCTCGCGCCGCGGCTACCACAGCCAGCCATGCTCCTCTGGATAGCGGCCTTCTAGACGTGCCTGTGATGGAGTGCGATGAGCCTCGCTCCTGGCCTCACCTCTGCCACCTGCCTCCTCTGCACCCTGGCTGTCCCAGCCCAGCAAACCAGCTGACCCCGCAGTTCCAGCCGCTACAGCTAGAGAAGAAGCAGCAGAAGCAGCAAGAGGGGATTCCTTATCTGGTCCCTCCACCTGCCAATGTTCCTACCAGTGCTACTGCTCCTCCTCCTGCTCCTTCTCCAGGGTCGTTTCAGATGGGAGTGAGGGTGAGCGCCGGTGTGAAGTCCCGAGCAGCAAGCAGCACAGTGAAGCACACAGCAGCAGGCGTGGTGCATCTCCTCTCACTGCCCTCCCTTTCCGCCCTCACTGCATCTTCTGGAAGGGCAGGTATGGCAGCAGCAGCAGTAGCAAAAGCAGCAGCAGCAGCAGCTGATGCCAGGGCAGGGGAGTCCGGGTCGACAGCAGCAGGACCTTCCGTCCTTACTGCTACCCCTCATGCTCCTCGTGCTGCTGTTCTGCCGCGCACCTGTGCTGTTGCTTCTGCTGCTGCTACTTCTTCCCCTGCTGGTGCTGGCAGGGTGTCTCCCCTGCATGCGCGGCGCCCTCCCATGCTGGTGATCCCACGGTCCGACTCAGACTGTTGCCAGGAGGCCGATGCAGCGCAGCAGGGGGGTCAGGGGCTGAACACATGGGGGCAGCAAGGGGGCAGCGGGGACGCAGCAGGCTCGCAGGGAGGGGGAACAGGAGGGGGAAGGGGAATGGGGATGGGAGGAGCTGTTGGGTTCCCAGGCAGGGTTGTGCGCAGGTCGCTCAATCGCCAGTACATAGATGGTTCACCGCCCGTGCTTCCCCCTCACAACCCAGGAGAGGTCCTTCCGTGTTCTTCCATCTCCCCGTCCCCTTCCTGCTCCCCCGGTTCTGCCTCTCTCCCCTCCCCATGGCCTCTCACTGCTACCCCTGGCGGCCCTTCCGACTGTGGTGCTGCTGGTGCTACCCCGGTGTCAGCTTACATCTCAGATAGAGCAGCAGGGGGGAGTGGTGGGTGGAAGGAGACGAGGACGGGGGGACTTGGGGAGGGATGGCTAGGAGAGGACGTTGTGAGAGAGGGAGGAGTGCAGGGGGAGGGGTTGGGAGACGGTAGTGCAGTGGAGGATGCAAGCATGGGCGACTTGGGATATGAGCGCTTGGGGGAACTGATGGGTGGTCGGGATGATGTTGCTGGACTGAGCATGGGCATGTGCGTGGGCATGGGCATGGGAGGGCAGTTCAGTATGGTTTCGGGGATGGCACCTGCTGACAGGATGCATGGTGTGTTTGCAACGAGGGTTGATCCTCGCATGGTGGGGGTTGGCGTGGGGGCAGTGGGGGTGGGAGATGGGGGAGGGAGTGGAGGTGAGAGTACGGAGGGGAGTGGTGGCAGCACGGAGTGTGTGGATGGTATGGGAATGGCGACAGATGTGGACATGGATATGAGCATGATGGAGATGATTGGCGTGGCAGAGGGGTGAGAGCGAGAGATTGCGACAAAGAGAGTGAGACTACATGATGATGGGGTGAACGGATGGATGAGTGAGGCCATGTCGGTGGGGCCTGGGTGTTGGGGTGGGTCGAGAGGAGTGTGGAGGAGGGGAAGGAGGGGGTGGTGGTGTTGTGTCTACACCTGTTTTTCCTGCTCTGCTGTGTTGGCGCTGGTGCAGATGCATGGTGCTTTGCATGCAGGCGCTGCTGTGCAGAGCGTGAGCGGAGCCAAGGGGGGCATTTTCATTCCAGCTTGTTGGTCTTCGATTTCCTTTAGTACTTGAAAAGTCTGGCGGAGAACCATTGCTTGGGGAAGGGTGGGTGTATGGACTGTGGAGAAGTAGGGAGCATGTTTTTGGTCCAGAAGTTGGAGCTTGCAACTTCTGCAAATGTGCTGTACAGTAAGTTTAGAGGGTGCTTGGCGTTTTCCTTGACTTCCTGTGGTAACTATTTCAGTTTAGCCACCCTGGGTCTTGTACATTTCTGTATGCTGCTGTGCTGTGCATGTGTACATTAGCCACTTGTTTCCGGTCCGGTATGGTATAATTGGACATGGACCATTTCATCAGTGATGGCAGCTGTAGAGCTCTAGGAAATGTTGGTTCAACAATTAGTGAGAACCACGTGCGATCATGGGTTCTCTCAGACACACCTGACCATCTTCCCACTCTGCATCACTTCCTGTCAATCAAGCTGTTCCAAAGCACGGTATCAACATTTGAGAGAAAGGTATTGGAAGTATCGCTATACCGAATACGGTACAGGGCTGACGTTTCAAAAAAGAACCACTCTGAGGCAGGGGAGAAAAAAAAAATCGCTTAGTCTGAGGGTCATTTCCCAAGTTCTGAGTACTCTGAAATGTCAGGTTTGAACAAAATCATTAGTCTGAAAAGTTTTAAGTTCGTAAAACCGCATCCGAGCTGGTTAATAGCGAGTATCTATCGAGCGAGTTTGGCCTAGGGAAAACGTTGCGGAGTTGGCGAGAAGCAGGAGTAAGAGGGGGCGGGGGAAGGGGGAGGGGGGAGGGGGGCAGGGGGGGAATTGAATGTAATTCGAGAGAGGGGGAGGGGGGAGGACTGAAATTCGGCAATTTCAGGGGCCATACTCCCTGTAGTCTCGAGTCTCAGTATCGTGTCAAATTGTATATACTTGTCTAGGTTATCTAGGCTGCATGGGGGTTAGCACTAGGGGGTACAGAAACTTTCTCGATACCCTAGTCTTGTACCCACCCCTTCACCTAATCCCATCATCCTTACCTTAGTTCTTAACATGGTAACTAGAGCAGGAGGTCTCTAGGACCTACGAATCGCGCCCACCTAACTGCCTGCCTTGCCTAATGCTCGTGCGCGCCTCGGTTGCAGCGCGCGTCACTTTTTTTTCCGCGCGCGCCTCGGTTTCTAGCGCGCACGTCACTTTTTTATAGCGCGCGCCACTGCTGCAGAGCCGCGCGCCGGCTCGCGTCACTCGCACAGCCTGCGTAGAGCTCGCGCGCCCCTTACGCCGCCCACGCGCAGCCTGCTCAGGCCCGTCGCCGCACGCAGCCCGCAGCTGCGCGCGCTGCCCGTCGCCACGTGCAGCCAGGAGCCGCGCGCGGCACGTAGCCACACGCAGCAGAGAGCCGCGCGCAGCCCTTAGCTGCACGCAGCCAGCAGCCACGCGCGCCCTACTCGTGTACCTGCCAGTGAGGCTCACTGCTGCCGAGTCCGTTGCCTTAGAACTGTGCGGCCTGCTACTGTTTAGAGCCCCACCTTATGAGCTCAAGTGCAGCAAGCTACTGCCCTGCACATTGCCTGTACTGCCTACTGCCTCTGTCTTAGCCTGCTGTCTACTGCCTGCTGCCTCCGGTCTCCTGCCTACTGCCTCTGTCTTAGCCTGCTGTCTACTGCCTGCTGCCTCTTGTCTACTGCCTGCCTGCTTTCTGCTGCCTTTGCCTACTGCCGTTACGACGACGCCTAATGTTCTCGCGTTCGAACCTGACGGTTGACCCATAGAGTTCGCTGTGTGGCAAGACGACCTGCAACTGTTCCTTCTGACCGATGCCAAAGAGGGCGTTTCACTGTTTGTTTACGTGTCTGGCACTACCGTTGCTCCTGCTGCCGATGCTCCTGCTCTCGAACGCTCGCAGTGGCAGACTCGTGATGCTGCTGCACGCCTAGCTATTAGGAACCATCTATCGATCACTGAGCGCGCGCATTTCAGCCAGCACAAAACTGCTAAGAAGCTGTACGATGCTGTAGTCGCGTGCTACTCCTCCCCGGCCACTGCAGCCATAGGTCGACTCATGCTACCCTACCTGTTCCCCGAGCTTTCCTCGTTCACCACTACTGAGGACCTCATTTCCCACATGCACGCTGCTGACACTCGCTTTCGTGCCGCCCTTTCAGCTGAGTTCTGCGCCACTACCCTGTTAACGGGAATGGAGTGTTGGCCCTGCCCTCGCTTGGGCAACGCCGACAACTTGGTCGGATGTACGGGAGTAGCACCCGACCGCTCACAGTGGGATAGCTGCTCGACAGGTTACGTCGAGCTGCAGCGGACCGCTGTGGTGTTGCTGTCGACCAGGATGCTCGACAGCTGCACCTGACTGGCCTGGGCGACGGGTGAGCCGTCCGGGAGGTCGACGAAGCAGTCCGTCGACCTACAGTTCGACGGGGAGGTCTATGGAGCATCCCGTCGAACTGAAGCTAGACCGGGAGGTCAACGGAGCATCCCGTCGAACTGTAGCTCGACCGGGAGGTCAACGGAGCATCCCGTCGAAGTGCAGTTCGACCGGGAGGTCGACGGAGCAGTTTTGGTCGACGGAAGGGGTTCGTCGACCAAGGGGTAGCTTAACGGGAGGTGTGGTCAACCAGGAGCGCCTGGTGGTCGACCAGATGGATCCATTGGTTGACGGGAGGCACCTGGGAGCCGACCAGAGCACCAGGGGTCGACCAGGTCGACCGGGTAACCTGCTCGACGAGTTCTGCGGAGGCACGCGAACGTCGTCGAGATCGCGATGGCGCAGGCGACTTCGGGCTGGTATCCCGAAGTCGATGTGGCTCGTCAGGCGCAGACAACAGCCGACGGATGCCCAACGAGGCAAGTCGGGCCAATCGTCTGCGCAAACCTGCGAGCGCACGCACTGCTGTGTTCTACGGGGCACGCCGTCGACCTGCTTTGTTGGCAGGTCGCCCTTCTGCAATGCTGGCGCGGCTCCTCTATGCAATGCTGGCAGGCGGTCGACCGAGTTGCGTTGGCGGTCGACCAGGCTAGCTGCAGGGTTGCTAGGTGCCTGATGTAGTCATTGTTGTCATTGCTTCTTGCATCACTCTAGAATTCTAACTTTGCTAGTGGAAACTCTTGCCAAATTCTTCCGTGAATGTGCAAACTCTAAGGAACAAAGCAAAGCTAAGATCACCTCTAGTAGTTCGTGCCAACCCCTGTAGTCTAGCTCACTACCGCTGTAGAGTTTATCTCCACATACCCCCCCCCCCCCCCCCCGATGTACTTCACTCTCTATTTCCTCGTCACCCACCTCCCTGACACTCTTAACTTAGTTTGGGACCACTTCCTTGCGCTAGACCCCCCCACTCTCACTGTCGACGACTTCGAGAAGCACCTCCTCGCAGCAGAGAAGAACATCCTCGCTCTAGGTGCTTCTCGTGGCACTCCTCGCTCTCCCCTCTTTGAGGGGTGCTCCCCCTCCCCTCTCACCCCCTCCTACGCCTCCGCAGCTGCTGCTCACGAGTACCTTGGTGCTGAGGAGGTCGGGGCTGATTCCGCTCCTAGTGGGAAGCGTCGCAGCGGCAGGGGCGGCAAGGGTGGCAGGGCAGGTGGGGGCGGCGGTGGAGGTGGCGGTGGTGGTGGTGGGGTGGAGGTGGTGGTGGGGGCGGCGGAGGCACTAGGGGCGGTGAAGGGGGCAGCAGCGGCGGTGGGGGAGGTGGGAGCGGTGGTGGCAGTGGTGGTCAGGGCCAGCCGCAGCAGCAGCAGCAGCGACAATGCCAGACCCCCACTTCCCAGCAGCTTCTTGACTGGTATGCCGGGCGTGGGGCTTCTGGGGGTCCTGGTCGTTGCCCCTATATCATCCGCACAGGTCCCCGCGCTAATCGCCAGTGCACAGGGTTTCACACTGAGCAGCGCTGCTTCGCTTGACTTAGCGACGCCTGGCGTGCCAAGTTTCCTAACGCTACTGAGTTCCCCAACTGGGCAGACTTACTTAGGCGTGATGTACCAATCTTTGATCTTGACTATGAGGCTATTCTTGCTGCTATGTATGCTTTGACTGTTAGTGCTGAGGGTGACTGCTACTTGTGTGTGCTTCCAGATCCTGGAATAGCCCCTGCAACACTAGGTGCTTGTGAGTCTGCTCCCCTTGGTACTGCGCCTGCACAGGCTTTGCACACCTTTACACTTGACTCTGGTGCTTCCCGCTGTTTCTTTCGCGACACTACCACAGTCACTCCCCTTCCTGCACCTATTCGTGTCTCACTGGCTGACCTCTATGGGGGCCCAGTGCTTGCACGGTCTTCAACTATGCTTCAGTGTCCGGCAGTCCCGTCTGGTGAGCTGTCTAGTCTCCACCTCCCCTCGTTCTCTATAAACTTGGTGAGCAACGCTGTCCTCCAGGATGCGGGTGTTGACACCTTCACCCCTGGCCGACAGCGTGTGGCGATCTGCACGTGCTCCCAGACCGGCCGCCACCTGGCCACGTTCACCCGTGCGCCAGGGTCCAGTCTGTACACCCTCACCTGAGTCACGCTCCACCCCTTTGTCTCCCCAGCTGCACGCGTCTGCTCAGGTAGCTACCCAGTGTGAGTGTCGCCGGCTGTCTCACGACACCCTCCTGTGGCACCACCGCCTAGGCCACCCCTCACTGCCTCGCCTTCGTAGCATGCACTCTCGCTTTCTGGTTTCTGGTCTTCCCAGGTCTCTGCCTGCCCTCCCTCCCTCGCCTGCGCCGCCCTGCATTCCTTGCGTCGAGGGGCGGCAGCGCGCCGCTCCTCACTCCTCC